TCATAAATCAAATCTATCTATATTTGATAAATTAAAACTCAATAGATGTTGTTCATCATGTTCAAATGTTCCAAAAAGTACCTGTAAAATAAAAAAGTGTTAACATTTTTTTGTTATCATTTTTTACATACAAACAAACTTAAAAAAAAAAAAATAGATATATTACCTTATGAGGAGTGATGATTTAATTATCCTCATTTTTGGGTTGTTGCTTCACTTCATTCTCTTCAACACAATTATTTTGTTGTTGTTGCTGCTGCTGTTCTCCCACTTTAATATTTTCATTACCAATGCGTTGCTCCACTTCATCCAATGCTTGTAAACAAATCATATTATTTTTAATTTCCTCCAACATAACTATCAATGCTCTCATGTCTGGAAAGTCCTTTTTAATTTTTTTTATGAATTTCTTGAATAGGCCATAAGGTTGGAAGTGTGTTAACTATAGCATGAACTAATATTGCAATGTGGGGCTAGAAACCTTTTTTCCTAAGCTTATAAAACACTTGCTCTTTATGTAACATATGCTCTCGTACCGTTAAATTTGGAGTCATCCGCGCTTGTTCAAGTTCAATCCATAAAGGATGAACATCACGCTCCTCCTCCATTAAAGCATCCATTAAGTCTGAGGCATCTTTGATTTCATGCTTTTGAAAAGTTGTTTCCTTTACTTCATTCCAGCTCGATGGTAAAAGGTCTAATATTGTTTCCACCAATTTTTTTTTCACTTATTTTTTGTCCTAATTTTTGCATTGCTCGACATATTTTGATTTTCCAATCAACAAAATTTTCTACCGGTAAACCCTCTTTATGTGGTACAGTTTCAAATTCATTTATGGTATTTTGTATCGCCAAACGATCACTACGGCGCAAATTTAGAGGAGGCCGCATATTTATCTGCACAATGAATTTAACACATTTAACATACAATTGCATAATGTTAGTCAAGTTGTTTTTAATAATAAACCACATTAATTATTATTTGAGTAAAATTTATAATGATTAAAAAAAGATGGGTACTTAATTATAAAATAAAATAATTGTATGAATTGAACATAGTATATGTACTGACAATTAAATTAAATATGAACATGTAAATTTCAAATGCAACATATGTTTTCATGTATGAAATTACTTATTTTAAATAATCAATATATGAAGAGAAATAATAAAACAATTGTTTCTAGGAAAATGAAACACATTTGAAACTCTTGAACAAAATTATTAATCAATGCCACTAAAAACTTCTATGTAAACTACATTTTTGGTGACATCATCCGGTATGCCTTGTTTATTAATAATCAACACCTTTAAGCCTGATGGGGAGGTGACATGTGATAGAGCTACATACAGCTGGCCATGAGAGAAGACTGGATTCGGAAGATAAAGGCCCACATTCTTCAAAGTTTGCCCTTGACTCTTATTTATTGTCATAGCGAATGCCAACTTTATTGGAAATTGCCTTCTTTTCATTGTAAAAGGAGCATGATTTTTGGAAGGTGTTAAAACAATACGTGAAAGTAGTACTTTCTCACCAACTCTAGACCTTGTAATAACTCTAGCTTCAATTACTCGATTTCCCATCTTATCAACAATTAATCGAGTGCCATTGCATAATCCCAAAGATTGGTTGACATTTCTTAGAAGCATTATTGGTGTTCCAACTTTCAACTGCAAACAATGATTTAGAAGTCCTGGTAAATTCAAAGAATGCAAAAGTTCAGGAGGGTTCATGTCTTGAACATTGCTCTCACTTTCTGTTGGACACAATTTATCAGCACTGTTAAAAGTTTTCATCTCTCCAGGAAGCATTGAAAGCATAATAGAATTGATTTCATCAACATCACTATTTTTAGGAGATAAAATGCCTCGTTCTTTTAAGTACGACATATCCTGATATTTATTTATGAAATCAGGATAGGTGGCATCGATTAACTGGTGCAAATCTCTTTCTCCATTTTTTATAACAAATTTTTCTGGTATCTGTATCCAATTAGGTTCATAGCCTTCACTAAACGAGCTTCCCATTATTTTCCCTTCACCAACCAATTTAATCCACTCTGCAAAGTCACATAATTCATGACGCGTATGATTAGAAATATCTTGTGCTGTAACATGCATATTTCTGGTAAGATGCAAAACTTGACAATGCTCCCAAATTGTTGACTTAGGTAATGAAGCTTCCATTGTTTGTTCACGCCCACCTCTAGGTACGACAGGCAATATTTGTCTAAAGTCACCACCAAGCACAAATAGTTTTCCACCAAAAACCTTATCCTCTGAACAATGTTCTGTATTTTTCAATATGTCCCTAAATGTACTATCAACAGCTTCAAAAGCATGACGACTAACCATTGGTGCTTCATCCCATATAATTAACGACGCCTCTTGAATTAACCTTGCCAAATCTGTCCCTTGATTTATTGAACAACATGATGAGTTATCAGGGTCAAGTGGAATCTTGAAACGGGAATGGGCAGTTCGTCCCCCGGGTAAGAGCAAAGCTGCAATACCTGATGATGCAACAGAAAGAATGATCTTCTTATCGGATCGAAATTTTTCAATTAAAGTGCTCAATAAATATGTCTTTCCAGTTCCTCCACTGCCATACACAAAAAATAAGCCCCCATGATGAGTGGAATAAGCTTCCATTATGGTGTTAAACACTTTTAATTGGTCATCATTCAATCCCACATATAAAGATTCAAAAGATTGCATTTCTGAAATGTTATCGTAGTTCAATTCCTCCCTTATGAGCCTATTAGTAACCATTTGACCTGATCGATATGATGGTAGTGGCATTGGAGGAAACTCTTTAAGAGACCTTCCATTCTGATTTAGTATGTGCTCAATTTCAAGCAATCCTAAATTTTTCAATTCACATTCTTCGAGACTTATATTGCCATCCCCAATTTGCCTTTGTACCCTATTTTGTAAATCATCAGTAAGGTCAAACCAATGATTCTCCCACAATTCATATGCATTTGTAACCTCAGAAAACATTAGCATTGAGCAAAACATATTTCGCAGTTGAGAACTTGATGCCCATGTTGAGGCTTCTGTTAAAGCTGCGTCCCATTCATTATCATCGTCAAGTAAGCCAAGTGCAAGGCATGCAGATTTAAATGTTGGGTGCACAATGCCATTAACGGTTCTAATATCTTCATAAGATTTTGCACCTCGAACCTTGGTAAGCAACATACGTAAATAACATCGTTCACCAGAATTAGGATGTGCATAATACAATCTACCTATGCATATTTGTTCTTGTCTCGTTTTCCACTTCTTCTATTTCTGGTTCCATACCCATGAGCTAGGAAACTCTTCATATGTTAATGTATTCGCCTCTACATGATCTCTGTTTGCTTGAAACCACCTTGTAAACATTGTCTCGTGAACCCCCGGCTGATTAATAATTGACAGAATGTTATCTGTGTCTCTAAATAGAATAGATTATTCCCCAGGTAGATGGTACTGCAACCGTTCAACTGAAGGGTATTGCTTTTGCAATTCAAACTCAAATATACGCCAGCAACATTCAATTGCGGAGATATATCGACAATCTAAGTATTGTTTTACCTCATCATCCTCTCTATACCGACTTTGTCCATCAATGTTAAGTCGATTAACATTATCTTCAATTACAACCGTTGTACGATCAGGACCTTTATGTATGTACTTATATAAGTACTTGATCAATTTACTATGTGCACAACGCTCAATATTGGTATGGGCATCATACAATACAATAAGATCACGGTTGTATGGAATAACCCATCTGTTGTCAATTTCAAGTCCATTAACCATGTATTTTTTCTTTGTATCCCTTCGCCTACAGATAGCAAATCCATTTTCATCAATACTCGTTTCACTGCAAAAATTCTTCGGATAATGTTTTGAACATTTTCCATTCACCATACATGGGGCATTAGGATTAGCACTGCGACAGGGACCATGTATCATGCACCTCATCACTGTTTGAAATGCTAATGGATCTTCATCCTTATCAGGAATTTCAGCACAAATTATATCATCAATTTCCTCTGGCGATTTTATCTTGTCATCTGCTGATAATGTCAAGATAATGTGCGAATGCGGTAATCCTCGCTTTTGAAATTCGATGACGTGAATATCTATTCAAGAAAAAATAATATTATTTGTTAACTTCAAACTAAATTTAACAAATCTAATTGACCAGTTCAAATAAAAACAAACCTGCAATTATTTTTCCAAAGAATTTTCGGTTCTTGAAATATGCCATCATTTGTTTCAATTTAATTCGAAAAACTTTCGCAAGTATATCCGGTATATCCTCTGTGCGTTGATTTGGAATGCACGCTACCTCCTGTTGAATTTCTAACCAATTTGGGTTACATGTGAATGTGACAAAATAGTCAGGAAATCCCATCTTTCGACATATTGCGATCGTATCTTGGTAATGCTGAACCATATTTCGTGGGCCGCCTGTAAAAGATGATGGCAGTATAAATCTCCTACCAATGGCTGATGTATCACTGTCACCCGCAGTCACAACATCTTCTAAACCTCTGTACAAATCAGTCCGCAACACATTCTGTTTATGCCTAATGAAGTTTAGTCTATCTTGCTCAATAGCTGCATAACAATCAACAACAAATTATTGGAACAAACGCCCCCCTTGCAATAGCGTTTTCCCTTCTCCAACTCGAAATTGAAGTCTAAATGCATAAAACTCTCTCATTGACACTCCTTCTCGTTTGTTGTTTGTACCCAGAGTAAAACTTATAGACCTTCTCCATCCATCAGTCCCATAGGGAAAAAGTAATGGATATTGAAGTGGCAGGTATAAAGGATGTGTTTCATTAATCCTTTGTAAATATCCATCTATTTTTCTAACAATTATGTCACGATTTGTAGTGCTTTCAGACCCATCACCAACAATTAATGTAGCAATTTCAGTTGTAGTGGGTCTAGTGTACTGTCTTCCATCCCTCGAACTCAAAATGCGAATATGCAATTCTTGAGCACCATTCTCACGAATCATGTCTCGAGCAGTGCAAAAAATTGAAACATATGGATTGATGACATTCAACATTGACTGTAAACCTTCTAATGTGGACATATCAATTCCCGATGTGCCACCACACCTATTCATAGCATCCATTCTATTGCGAATTTCATGCTCAGTGTCATAAATATAGAGTTGTGCAAATTTAGGCCTTGTTCCAGGTTCCGGTAGTAGAGAACCAATTTTATGAAAATTTGCTCCACTAATACGAAAAACATAGGGACCCCTTCCATCTAACACTGACTGATCAATTTTCCCACCCATGGACGTGAAGGATAATGGGGAGTTATATGTCCTTACGTGTTCCTTGAATCTCACATGAGTAAACTGTTGTTGTAAAAATTCAGGAGTTTCTGGCAATAAAGGCAACATCACTTGTCCACTTTGACAACAGAGACTAAATTTTGGTTGACTCAATGGACTATCTCTTACTTTTTCCTCCATCCACATCATTGCTTGACATCTAGTGCATGTTACTGTTCTCCCACCAAAATTTGAGCGGTCTGAAATTTTTCTCCTTCTAGAACGTGTGGTAAATGTACTACCTGAAATTATTTAGATTTAGATTATAATTATGAATTTCTATTGTCTGTAAGAAATTTGTATAGAGTACATAGTTGGCTAAATGTTTATTACCAGGTGGATGTATGGATTGATGACATTCAACATTGACTGTAAACCTTCTAATGTGGACATATCAATTCCCGATGTGCCACCACACCTATTCATAGCGTCCATTCTATTGCGAATTTCATGCTCAGTGTCATAAATATAGAGTTGTGCAAATTTAGGCCTTGTTCCAGGTTCCGGCAGTAGAGAACCAATTTTATGAAAATTTGCTCCACTAATACGAAAAACATAAGGACCCCTTCCATCTAACACTGACTGATCAATTTTCCCACCCATGGACGTGAAGGATAATGGGGAGTTATATGTCCTTACGTGTTCCTTGAATCTCACATGAGTAAACTGTTGTTGTAAAAATTCAGGAGTTTCTGGCAATAAAGGCAACATCCCTTGTCCACTTTGACAACAAAGACTAAATTTTGGTTGACTCAATGGACTATCTCTTACTTTTTCCTCCATCCACATCATTGCTTGACATCTAGAGCATGTTACTGTTCTCCTACCAAAATTTGAGCGGTCTGAAATTTTTCTCCTTCTAGAACGTGTGGTAAATGTACTACCTGAAATTATTTAGATTTAGATTATAATTATGAATTTCTATTGTCTGTAAGAAATTTGAATAGAGTACATAGTTGGCTAAATGTTTATTACCAGGTGGATGTGCTCTGCTTGAAGTTGGTGGTACAATATTATGAGCTCGCACTTCTGATTCATTTGTATCTAATTCATTAGATATAGGAATCTGAATTCCAACGTGACTAATATTAGGAGCATTGTCATTATTGCAACTCCATGTTTGTCTAAAAGCACCACGTTGCATTCTTTTGAGTCTCAAGATTGTGATCCTCAAATGTCGATTTTCCTTTTCTATTTTCCGAAGGCGATCCTTTAATGTAGGATCATTACGATCATATCGTGTTAAAAGTAATCTTCTTCTTGCCAGCAGTCGTGCCAACTTGGAGGAAAGATGTTTTCGATATCGATTTTCATATTCTTTATCAACACCTAATATATAATATAAGATCATATTATTAGTTTTGTGATTCTTAAAATATTATTGAAAATGTGAAGGTCTCACTAATAAGATTGTAAGAAAATTTGAAATTTAACATTATTGTGTAGAAGTCAATAGATTACCACTATGACGGGCACTGTTTCGTAATCTTTTTAATCGCAAAACGATGGTTCTCAAACGTCGAGCCTCATTTTCTATATTGAGAAGACGAATCTTCAAGGTTGGATCATTACGATCAGAATGCCGTGTCGAAAGCAGTCTTCTTTTGGCTACCAATCGAGCCATCTTGGACTTAAGTCGTGTTTGATTAATTTCTCGATTAAAAATCATATCCATCCTGAAGAGAGTATTAAGTTGAAGCTTATATAACTCATGCTATTAGTTTATAGTATAGATAATGACTTAAGGATGTGTAACATATGACTTTCTTATAAAAAACATGATAATCTATAATTGTTTGTAGTTAATTTTGCACATTGAAATGGTTAACTCCTACATGATGACATTTACTGTAGAATCCATATAAATAGAATGTATCAAAGATCTAAAATCATGCAAGTTATATATTTATTATATATATATATATATGATAGTCAGTAATTGTTTCTAGTCATATTAAAATCTACTAAAAAAACCCACAAACATGGTAGTCTATAATTGTTTATAGTTAATTTTGCACATCGAAATCATCAACTCCTACATGATAACATTTGATATGAAATTCATAAAAATAATATGTAACCAAAGATCTAAAAATTTGTAATTCAACTTCAAACCTGGAAATATCAAATGGTTAACCAATTGTTGCTGATATATCTGGAATTTACCTTAAGTTTACTTGCCTTATTCTTCAATAGAATTCAAACTGGAATACAAAAGATAAAGAATACAAAATCTCAGTAAGTACCGTTATTTGTTGTAAGTACATAAAAAAATTTAAAAATCTATTATACAACATGGATCTACTCAGGAGCTAATGTAACTATTTGTAAAGAAATTATAACACAATAGTTTTGTAGTAAGCAAAGATAATGTAATCAAATTATTGTTATACATGGGGGAAAAAAACACAAAGGAAAAAAAGGATTTATTTTGATTTATTGTTAGATTTTTTTTGAAGATTTTGAAAATTACAAAATAAACACAAAGCGATGTCTTTTTGTGGATGTGTATTTTTTTTATTAATTTATTTAATTGAGATTGGGATTTATTTAATTGATTTAAGTTATAGATATTACTAAATTTTATGTGATAGACATCTGATTCAGTGAATTGTGAGTGTTGGATATGCATGAGTATATTGTAGGAATAAAAATTATGGATTTCTTTTTCTTTCTTTTTTTTAAAAAAATAACGTGATGGACATTGAATATTTTTAGTTTGTATATATGTTTTTAATTTATTTAAGTTACAGATATTTGAGCTCTTTTTTTTAAATAACGTGATAAACATTGAAAAAAATAGTTCATAAAGACAAAATAGATTAAAATAATTAATAAAGATTTTTTTTTA